GTGTAGACCCACTGAAAACAATGTAAGCATATGTTTACTAGTTTTCCTAACAGATTTATAGGTGAGTGAAGAAGCAATAATGGTGGTGGCATGAAAAATCTCAAATTACCTTGAATTACAACATGCTCAAGGGAAGAAGCAGCATGGCCCATCTTAGCTGAAAAAGTTAATACAAATAAATTATTATATGCTTTAGGTTATTATGTGTGCATATTTTTTTTTGTTAAATACCGACATAGTTAGTTAATGAATCAATCAATCAATCACAAAACTTATAGCGCTGAGTATCCATATAATATGTTCAATGGCACTCAAACAGCAGAGTTTATAGTCGCTTCTAAAAGTAGCCAACTGATAATAATTGCATCAAGCATAGCTCATCATCAACAAGTTCCTTCATTTCAGTTCTATTGAAGAAACTCTCTAGTGGGATTCGAACCTCCAACCTCAAGCTGTCAAGGCGAGTATCAGAGACCTATGGGATATCTTGCAGTTCTAAACCCCCAGGGAGCTGTGGCTAAGCTAGAAAAGCTTATAATGCAGCTGGGAAAACCTAGTGGATAAAATTCAAATGAAGTTGCTGTGTAGCACCGTAAACAATGTAAACAAATATCTAAAAATAGTGACAGTACTCGAACAGGGTGTAAAATTTACATTTTTTTAACACGCACCAAAATTTACTTGTAATACATTCTAAAGTAAAAACTAAACCCTAACTAGCTTCTTGACTTACTAAAAAATGTAGACAATCATGCAAACATGGACCATTTTTTTTTCTATTTGCTGGAATTCCATGTTTTATAATACATCTATTATGTAGTAATAACCTTATACTTATACACTACATAATCATCTTTCATATTGTGAATGTTGTATTATTCAATAACTTTGAATAATAAAAATCATAAAAGACAACTTGTTCTGTCTAGGCCACTGGCCTATGAAGCTAGGGTAGGAACCAATGTTTTTCAGCCTGTGTGATCTACACAAATTCATTTTTACAGTAGTTTTACCTTCTCAGGTACCTAGATTGTGGATTTCATTCAACACAGCTTCCTTGGATAATTGCTTAATATGTATTTTGAAAATTTAATATATCATGTTATGTTTTAATTTGTTACGATGAACATGTGTTAAGCTTGATGTGGTAAATACAGTACTGTACAGTACAAGACTAATAGTGTATTAATAGAAATAATACTGCAGTTTATATTTTTATTGCATATTAAACTTGAGATTTAAAGATGATATATCAGTGCTAGAATTCGCCAAAGCCTTAATGGTAGACCAGGCTAATAAAACTAGACTAGCCAAGTAGACCAGGCCCTCCAAGCTATCATGGTAAAATTGGCCATCATAAATCTGTATTTAATAGAAAATAAATCATATTGTGTCTCCATAATAAAATATAAAAACAATTTTCATATACAAATCACATTCTTAAACCAACCTGTTGAAAAGAGTCGTTTAAAACGAGTAGTTGCAACTGACTTTGTTTTTCCACATGGCACACTATCTTTCATCAAACATTCCTCAAGTTTATGCAGCGGTCCCAGCGTAGGTTCACAGGTATTACAAAGGACGCGTAACTCATAGCCAACTCCTTCTGTAGTAACATACACAGTTTTCAATTGCTGACGGATGTAACTTAATACCTGATAAAAATGAAATAAGATAAAATTATCCTGAAAATTTTTATGGTTGCATACCAAGGTGTATAAAATCTCAATTTTGTAGGTGTCTTAGGAATGCAACCAAATCCCCTAAATGGTAACTCCCTCAATGGGGAAGGGGGACATTCATTTTCAGATCATCAAAATAAATGAAAACTGTAAAAATAGTTTATAGTATATTACTTTCCAATTGGATGCCCCACAACACTGAATCTAACTCAAATAGCTGTTCCCTTTGACCATATCAGGGATTATAAGCAACCTCCTACCCCATTTGGTTGATTTTTGTACACCCCAACAGCAATCCACAGAAAATCTTGATTCCATTTAGTAAAACCCCTTTACTTAAAACCAGTTATTTGCAAACCTTTGAATCAAAGATGTTTTGAGCATTTGGTAAGAATTAGGAATTGGTCTCAAAAGCATTAGCAAGTGGTACACTTTAATTCCAATTGCATGACAAATACAATTTAAAAGTAGTATATATTGAATTATAATAAAGTTGTTCATTATATCTTTAATTTCTAATTAAATTTCATCTGTATTCAGCACAATTTGTGTTTGAACCCACCAGTACCCACTTGTACTCTTTGGTAAAAAGAGATAACCACAGGTTAAATGCCTTGCCTAAGGACACAAACAGGGAAATGAACCTCCAACTTCAAGGTTGAAATGCAGAACTGCAACCACTGCGCCAAACTGCTCCTACAAAATGACTAGAATAAACAGAATTCGGTTACAGAAGCTTACCTTCATGCAGATGCTAGGATGTGGTTCAAGAATTTTTTCTTTGCCATGTTCATCAACTTTCATCCTACATGATATTTCAATCTGTTTATATACAACATACAGGACATTTTATTGGTCAATGTATTGTTCACTGAGAAAAGGTTATAGATGCACATAATATACACAAATAATGAATGATTATGAGTGCAATGGGGTAGAATATTTCACGAGGTGAAAGACTGGATGTTCTTTTCAATGAGGTGAATAGAACATCCAATCTTTCACCTCATGAAATATTCTACTCCATTATACGAATGAGAAACATTCATTATGTGTTTTATACAACACCGACAGGATGAGCCTCGAAGAATACTAAAAGAACCCATCTTCCTTTCGAAGGCCAGCATAAAACCATCCTAGGCTTAGGAATCGATCAAGT